TATTTAGAAAATGACACGTGGCAAATAATGCTGCAGAACAGAGATAAGAATGACCGGAGGGCTACTAAGAACGAACGAGTGTATTCGAAGATGCAGTCAACCGCAACCGGAGATTGTGGTTAGAGGATGTTATGTTGAAGTGGTTACCAATATCAAGAATCTCGCTTCCCACTACCCAACTTGGAACAACAACGCTCCCCCAGTGATCATGGGCGAAGCCACATGGTCATCAGTGTGGTCAACCTGTCCACCCTTTGTCGAAAAATTATATTGTATACGTGGGTAAAATATTATATTTTAGAGGTATATGACACATATTGAACACTCTTTGTGGAGAATTTTTTTCACTTCTTTAAAATTTGAACACCCTTGAGGAAATTCCTAACTTCGCCACTGCCGGTGATTATAAATATTGTCTCTGTATATCCGGTGTGGAGAAATTAAAAAATAGCCAGATTTACAAGTGGTAATTCAAAAATAGCCACAGCTTCAAAATAATCGAAATTTTGCCATTTTTCATGTAAAGATAAATTTGAACGAAAACACAGTTCAAAATCCGAAAAATACTCCAGCATAATATACTGGAATTCCAGCATAAGTACGCTGGAACTCCAGTATATTATAATGGAGTTCCAGCATAAGTATACTGGAACTCCTACATATTATAGTGGAGATCCAGCATACGTATACTGGAACTCCAGCATAATATACTGGAGTTTCAGTATAGTACACCGATCCAGTATAATATGCTGGAAGTTCATACACAGGTGCTCCAATCTCTAGTATATTATGCTGGAACTTTCCGCGTGTTGGAGTTCCAGCATAATATGCTGGAAGTTCATACACAGGTGCACCGATCTCCGGTATATTATACTGGACCGGTCCCTATTGCAGCAAAATAGTGGCTATTTTTCAACGACTTTGCAAATGCTGGCTATTTTTTAATGACCAATCTAAAAACTGGCTAGCCCGTGCTATTTTAATCCGGTAGAGGGCATTGAAAAACAGTTTCACCAATCAAGGCTCTTTAATGTTCCCCTCTAAAATACTTTATGTCAAATACAATTCGATTATCTCTAAGATTGTTAGCTTTATTGTCATTTCAGCCCATCGAGGGCTGTTATTTTGCATCGTTTATAATTTACGTTATTATTGCTAAAGATATACCAATCTATACTATATTAAAAGTACGAAAGCCCTTAGCGAAATGTCGTTCGTCTTTCTTACCCTTTGTAAGTGCATTTTAAGCTGGATAAAACTGTAAATATCAATAAAATATTTTTGGAAAGAAAAAATAAACTACTGTAAGACCAAAAAAAGGAGAACGAAGAAGTGAATAAGTGAAAAACAACTTCTTCAATTAATATCCATCACAAAATTTGATTTTCTTAGGTTAAAAAAGGGAAATAGAACTTAAAGGAGAATAAGTAGGAAACATTTAATATTCCTATTAAAAGAAAAGTCAAATTTTCGGTGGGTTCAAAAAAGAAAACTCTCAAGTGAATAAGTAGAAAACTTATTATTAATGATATCCCTATTAAAGGGCATTAGAAACTTGTACCAATTTTCATGACATTAGGGTTAGTTTTTGCGTTGGTTAAAAATTTAGTTATTGCTTTGAGAGTCAATCTTGTTGTCTTTTAACTTGTTATCTTTTATTATTGGTTGTTGCTTTAACTTGTAAAGACTCTTGTTTTGAATTCTCTTTTATGTTCTTTTTAGTTTGCCGTATGAGAAGTTTGATATTTTCATTAGAGTTGTTGAAGTCTTAATCGTTGATTTTGATTCAAACTCCTTTATCGCTTATTAGTGCTTTTGCTTCTATTTATCATCTCTTTTTATGTTCTTAACTTGGTGTTGTCTAACTTTTATGCTTTCTTTCTTCCAATTTAGGTTGTCTCTTCTAGATCGTAGAAGCTCTTGGATCCTTTGAAACTAACACAACAAAGTATATCGAGGAAAATTATTATTTAGTTTGTTCCTCATCGAATAAGAGATGAATTACACCTTAGCATGTGAGTCCCTTAATCTTTTTTTATTTTTTCAGTTTTATAAAATATTATTGTAACCTCTAGCATTTTTTCTTAGTTTAGTTTGTTGTTACTTTTGTTTTTAATATTTTACAGGATTTTGGAAGAGTTATTTTCAGTTTAAGTTTTTCTTTTCACCATCCAATTCAATACTTTCGGATAAAAGATTATGTTGGTTAATACTTTGGGTTAAAAAAGGGTTTATGTTTAGAAAAATATCTAAAAAGCTTTTTATTTTGTGGAATGAACCATTTCCTTTCTTTTCGTGGAAAGAAATTATGTTCAAGTAAGCAAATATGTCATGGTTCTAGGAGTCTATCTATCGCGTATAGACTTTAAGGGCGTGGTGGCCTAACCATCGAGGTGAAGTCGGGACCTAAAAGATCGAATGGAACAATATATAGACAAGTAAATCCCTTATGGGTTCCAAGGTATTCCTTTAATTATTAAGAGTTAAGGGATTTATCATTCAAAGGGAAGTAGACTACTCAAGAATTTTCTATTTTATTTGTTGGAATTGAATTTGAATAAAGAATTAATAGAAGACGGAATCACTGAAATCTTGTTTCGTCTTCACTGGGAACTTGAGTAAGGAGTAGACCTTTTTATTTTGGGATTTTCTAGAGTTTGAAAACGAGAACTCCTTTCCTTATTTGGTGTACCTACTTGAGCCGGATGAAAGGAAACTTTCACGTCCGATTTTGAAGGGGGGGAGATCCTATAGAATCCTATCCCAATTTTTCTTTTGCTAGGCCCATAACTAAAAAGCCCACTTTCTTACGATTACGAGGTTTATTCGAATATGAAATCCAATCTTGGAAATACAGCATCCCACTTTTTTTTACTACCCANAAAACTGAAAAGTCAAACCAAACCGATTAAAAACCCGACTAAGTTTGGTTTGATTTGGTTTGACATTGAGTAAAAAAACCTGAACCAAACCGACATATAAATATATAATTTTTATATATATATTTTTAAGATTTTATATAGAATTTTCTTTAAAAAATGTCTAGAAATATTTGGAATTCTCTTGCGGGATATAATATTTAATAGTATATGAAGTGCTCCATATTTATTAACCTTAAAAAATGGGTTGTATGATCACTTTCTCATCAAGTATTACTGAAACGCGTCAATCTCTTTGTTCTTCCATATTCATATCATATGTTAAGATCTATTAAATTGTTATATCTTTCAGATGTGAAGTGATCATTATTTTTTAGGTATCATATTGATTTTTATGTTTAATTACTAAATTCGGTTAACCTTGAAAGTGTGCATCAACGAAACATTATTGTCTGACGACTAAAAAAAATAATTATTATGTGTTACTAAGAAAATTCTCTCATAAGAATATTTTAATAGATAATATATTTGTTAATTTTTTATATTTTTACTAAACATATATTTACTTATAAAAAATTTAACAAAGTAAGATTGAAATATTATTTAAGTAACAAAAAACCCCCGAAAAATCCGACAAAACCAAACCAATCCAAACCGATATAGTTGGTTTGGTTTGATTTTGATAAAACCCGAACCAACGCAGTCCATGTACACCCCTATGTCGTAATATGCTTATCAATTGAAGGCCCATCATTAATAGAAAAAAAAATTGCCACCATCAAGAAAACTCATGTATTATTATATTGTACTTATACTATATTACATAATTTGATAATCTAAAAAACAAAGGGTTGACCTAAATCACGATTGAAGGTATGACTATTTTGATCACTGTATCATGCATATATCTTGATTTATGACTATTTTGATCACTGTATCATGCATATATCTTGATTTTTTCTTGATAGTACATATTCAAATTTTATAAATAGTGGAGATCTTTCAAAAAAAAAAAGTTATTCCAATTCAAAGAATTTGAAATACTTGAGAATCGTCTTGATTAAAGTTATTAGTTGTTGCAAACCAATATTCTTTTCAAGTATGAAGTTGTGAGCTCAACAAAGTAATTTACATTAAAAAATTTGTAAAATATTGGAATACATCTTTTTTTCTTCAAATGTTCTTTTATTGGCAGAAAATTCGACACTCGTCTTGGTAATGACTTATTTTGCGGACTAAAAAGGTACTTATCGGATAAATGGAAAAAATAATATTGGTCAATATAATATTAATTAAATTTCTATGATTTAAGAGAAATAGGGGCTATAGTGAATATTTGATTATCACCAGGTCATTACAAGTATCACAATAGTATCACAATAGAAAATATGCCGTCAATTATTGAAAGCCTTCTCTAATCTGGTATATTATATGCTAGCATTCTCCAACCTAATAGGTTTTGGTTAGTGCATATCATTCTATTTGTTGGTTACTTTAAAAGAATTAAGTAGTTATTCTGTGCGAGAAAATTATAAATAACTTCGCTGAAAAATTCTTGAAAATTTGTTGTTGCGTTAAAAAATACTTTAAAGCCAATTGGTGTTGGTTACGTTGCATTGCAAAGTCTTAGAAGCTGCTTACATTCTTACACTAATTAGTTCAATAACAATAACAATTGTTGTCTTTGCATCTTATTATGGTGAGTTGGCAAAATTGAAGCAAGTACCAAAGCAAACGGTGGGAAAACCACAACGACAGTTTACTTACCATTTTTAAGAATAAGAAAATTTTAAAAGTTTTATTTTACAACTCAAATACATCATTTGTATATTATTTATATAATATTTAAAATTTATATCATTGGCACATAATACACGCGCAACGCGCGTACACTGAGATTAGTTAAGTAAATAAACGTATGTTCTTTCTAAGAATTCAAGTCTTAAGATGAGATGGTCACACTTTACCATGGTATCACACTAGATAGAGGCTTTGAGTTCAAGTCTCGCTGTAAAATTTTAAATGAGATAATCACACAATTCGACAACTGCATGTAAAGTTATGAACAACTCTAAGAACGGCATAGCAGAAAAAAGACACAATGCAGCCAAAGTAATATGGTAAAAGCGAGCACTTAGAAGTTGATAGTGATATTCTCTAAAATACACATCGAAGAAAAAGGACCATTTAATCAGACGAATAATAAAAAAATAGTAATAAATCAGGAAAATCTCAGTGGAATAATACAACATGCTTCCAGAAGAAAGAATGATAATATGAATGACAACAATATCTAAAGAGCAGACTATATGCTTCCTTTGTCTAATGTCCCATAACTGTTGTACATAATGCGCTAGTGACGATGTTTATGACTGAGCTATTATAGATTTGCACGACGTAGATATTGTTTTATCCCAAAACAACGTAGATGGCAAAAAGATACGTGAACCAAGTCAAACCGAGCAGATGAAGATTCGCAAAGAGAATATGAAAGCCTGTCAACATGAAGCACACACTCACCACTGCTCTGATTTCAAATTCAATTTGCAGTGGTCTTTGACATCGCCTGCTTGACAGCCTCAGCATAAGTCCTGTGTTGGTATGTCAGTGTGGATTCAAGCAAGTCCCATAGGGATGTCTTCGGGTTCCAACCTGGTCATACAGTCAGTCAATCCAAGAGTCAGATAATTTTTGGCTTTCAGGAGTTGTCATTTCTCGATAAATAAAGAAGCAGATTATTACCGAGCTGTCTGTTAATTATGGTCATGTCTGGAATTCGCTTGTCACTGTCATCGTACCCCTCGCCGTAAAATTCTTTAGAACTTACATCAATGGTGGGTGTTTCAGGAGGAGATTCTCCACTCACCTTTGAATACACCTGTTGTGATGCATGAAAAAGAGCTGAGCGAAATTGACAAGGTGCAGAAACACGCTCGAGAAATATATAGCTGAAGCAATAGGCACCACAAGAAGATGCAGGGAAAATGACAAAGATCACTTAATTACCTGGGTCATCATTTCAGCTAGCTGCCTAACTGTAACTTCATTATTAGGGTTGCCGACATTAAAGATCTGCCCATTAGCCCGTGCAGGATTTTCCTGATAGAAAAATCACATGAATCACAATTGAACATAGTGCATTTCAAAAACAAGAACAAGGTGCTGAAGATGTCAAAACTCACAATCATCAGGAGAACAGCTTCAATAGCATCCTTAATATATATGAAGGTTCTTTGCGAGTGTCCGCCGTCCACTAGCTTTAGTGGTTCATGTCTTAAAAGATTCTGCAAAAGAAATAATGAGATGATGAAATTAAAACACATACCAGCATCAGATTACCAAAAAAAAAAAAAGATCCGTACATTACTAAAGCAAGCCAACACTCTTGGAACACCTTCACTAGGACCATCAATCCCAGGTATGAAATCCATCCTCGGACCAATCCAGTTGAAGGGCCTAACAATGGTGAATTCTAAGCCATTCTCGGCACCCTCAGCTGCATAACACAATAAGTGAGAAATATATGATAAGAGATTCAAGTTTAGAACAGTCTGATGAAGGTATAGCATAACATACCATAGATCAACCTCTCAATCAATTGCTTTGCACATGCGTAGGACCACCTTTGCTTCTCAATAGATCCAAAAATACAAGGAGAGACATCTTCCTTAAGGACGTAGTAAGCAGGATCCTAGAAATAATCAGGAAGGATCAGAACATCTCCACGAAAGAATGTTATAGATTAACTAAAGAAAATATCATTTACGAGTTTGGTTAGAGATTGTATCTAGTGCAGGGAGATGTCTGAGATCTTTGAGAAGGAAAAAATGAAAATGATAACAAAAATGTAGTGGCGTTGGGAGGCGAATCTCTGAATGAAAGAGTCAAAGTGGATTAGCTTCTAGAAAAGCAAAAAATGGCTCAAAAAAATGAGTAACAAGAATCACTTTTCAGAAGCAAAAAAACACCCTTAGAACTGCAACAAATCCGGACTATGATGCCATTTTTCATTTGCTGTTTAAGGCTTTGGATTTGTAGGGCACCTGACAGAAAACCTGTATGTATTTCTGAGCTATTAAAAGCTCTCCTGTGTTTTGCAACCAAAGCCTAGATTTGAATTCCTTAAAATAATAAAACCAAATAATTTTAAAAAAAAAAAGAAGAAGTTGAAGAAAACATGACAGAGGAAAATGAAGAAGAATTTCACTGTAAATTGATCTGATGGCGTTAGCTTGCAGATACGTGTGAGATTTAGAAACTCCCTAGTTTTAGAGAACCCTAATTTTTAAGTATTGTAATAAAACAGGGCTAAATGGCACAAGAATAGACATAGAGAATCCATGTAGTTAAGCCCAACTCAGTTGGGAATAAGGAATATTTATTGTTCAGGGTTTGGGTAAAAATATAAGAGGGACACGGGTCGGCTGGGTCTTGGGTTTTATTTTGGTGTGAGGTTTTTAGTTTGTGGGTTAGTTCTTTTGATTAGAGGGTGCACGTGTCAATTCCATCAAAGGAGGGGTAAATTTAAAACTTTGGCAGACGGCAGCGACAAATATGGCCAAAAAGTATAACAGGGGATAGGATAATACAATAAACCAAAGTAGAGGGGTATATCAGACGCTTTTCCGCTTATCAAATGTCATTTTCACTAAAAGACAGTTTAGTATGCATCACTAGTACCATATTATCCCTTTGTTTTTGAGAAAACAAGAAGTTTAACACAATTAAAGGATAGTTCAAGAACTTACATGATATAAAAAAACATGACACAGAGAAAATAACAGATCAAGATTTTGCAAAAGTTTGAGATTTAACAAGAGTAATAACATGAAGAAACTGAACTCTTACCTGTCGCAATGGGCTGTCTTCGGGTAAAAAGGCACCTACGGTTTTTCCATAAACTTCACAAGTGGAAAAGTGAATGAGACGCTTTCCATTTTCTGAGCAGTATTTAACCTGAATCAGCAATTAACATGAACTTCACAACTCAACTACCGACAGAAAAGGTGAAATCTTTCTTACCAAAATTGTGCTTCAACAGTTACAAATGGAAACCCTCTTTAAACTACACTCATTTATTTATAATAACTATGTGAAGTTATAAATCTGATATGCATACCACTGGTAAAGCGTCAATGAAATTGCTGTAGATTGTGTCAAGTGGACGAGTATTATAATCAGCTGGCGTGCAGATCGCAGCAAGATTTACAACCTATATCACAAGAAAACAAAAGGTTAGCAATAGCCAAAAGACTTGCTTGGACCAACATATAAAATTCTAGGGAAAAAAATCTGAAAATATGTAGACGTTTATGATAATCCATAATTACAATGAAAATTAAACTATATTGTCGAAATTCTCCCTAGAATCAAGACAAAGAATCAATTTTTACATCAAAATAGATCTTAAATTCACATATAGATCCCAAGAAATGCTTATTCTTATTTTTAAAAAAATTCAAGCTCTTCATGAAATGTGCTACTGACTTAACGAACAATAATATGAACAAATCTTAGAAATAGAAACTAAAAGAAAAAAGAAAAATGAACTTCCACTAATTGAAGAATGTTGCAATACACACAGCAAATCCTCATCCTAATGTCCAAACTTAATAGGAAAAATTCAACAAGAAGCAGTAATTGCATTGCGGCTTTCCTATTAGATCAATTGAGATTCAGTTCGTTATGCTTCGATTGTTAAAATTTTCCAAAATAAGTAGCAAGGAAAATACACCAAATAAGAACTTAAAGCAAACAGCAGAACTTAAATACCCAAAATTCCAACAAACAGAACACATTATATATGATAACAACTATTGTAAATGGCAGAACGGCGTTGGTCACATCACATTTAAGTAAAATGAGAAGTTTTAAAAAATTAAATTGATTCTATAAAAATGTATCATTCTTTTTAAGACAGACTTAAAAAGGAAAGAAAATCACATAACTGTAAATATCTTTTTAATCGGTATATATATACACAAATGCAGTGAAATTACCAGATCTGCCATTTTGATGAGACCTTCGAGGCGAGAATCATTCTTAATATTAATTCTATGAAACTGAATACGACCAGTCCAAGGGAGATCAGCCGGTTCAAGTAGATGCTTGATTTTATCACTGTAAACATCGACAGCGAGCACCGTGTGCGGCGTTTCATTCATCAGCTTCTCACATAAGTGGGACCCAATGAAACCACCGGCGCCGATCATGCATATTTTCATCGTCTTTATAACATTGCCGTCTAGATCTACTCTCCCTCCTGCCATTTTTCCCCTGCAAAAATTGCACTTTCTCTCTCTAAAAGTTCGAGTTTCTCTCTCTGTAGGAAGGGGAAAAAAAGGAGGGAGGAGAGAGTTGGTTCTGAGTCTGTGTTTATACTTTATATCTGTTGTATGTATATTCTTACACGCTAGAGCAAGATTATTGGTTTCATGTTGTCAAGTGACAAAGTGCAGTTGGATACATGTGTAAACGGCTGGATTTTTATCTAATTTGGGTTTTCTAGTTATTGATTTTTTAATTTTTTGGAAACAGAAACATAATCTTGTCTTGATTAGCAAGACAAAATTATTTTCTAAAAGCTTGACATCCCTTTTCTATGTCAATAATATGGGCTGGGGCGAGTTAGCCCAGCCCAGTCCAATCCACATGAGTTTTAGCAATTAACGGGCTGGATTGTATTAGCTTACCATTTTGATGGGCCTTATAATGGATAGCATTGTGTGGGCCGTGGCCCCCAACGTGTCAGCTCATCATTTTTTTAAAATAAAATTTTATATTTTTTCTTTAGGTACTAACTTAAAAAAAGATAAATACTTAAAAATTAAAAATATTTGATTGGAAATTTTTTGCAAAATTTAATAAGTAATTTTTTATATTGTTCCAATATATCACAAGAAACACTAAAAAAGTAAAAGACATGACTATATTTCATTCACTAAAAGCCAAAACACAAAACAAACTATTCAAGAGAACATTCGTGATTCTTATGGGATATCCAACACATTATCTTCATCAAATACATTTGAATCCGCTTGTGATAAGGTTGTTTTAACATCTTCACATTCATCTATATCTACAGTTCATATACAATATTAATTAATTAAATATTAAGAATAATTAAAATTTAAAAACTAATAATATTCAAATTCACATAAAAAAAAATATTACCAGTTTGAGTTTGGGAAAAGCCGTGCAACCAATTTCGAGTAGTAACAAATGTTTGGACATTTTCATGATAGATGCAACTTCTGTACTTAGCAAGAACACGTCCACCAATGCTAAATGTTGATTCTGTTGCTACAGTAACATATATTTTATATATTTTATAAATATTTTTATTTGACCCACGGGCCGACCCAACCCAGCCTTAGTCAAGTCTCACGAGCCACGGGTTTACTTGCACTGGGCTTAAAAGCCTCATTTTTAAATAGGCTCCAAAAATTCTAACATAACCCTACTAAATCAAGGGCTGGGCTGGCCCAACGGGCCAAGCCCATATTGAAGCCAGGGGAAGAGCTATCGTGTTAGTTACGGATTTGGATGCACCCAGTAATTTTTGTTTAAACCTTATATTTGTATTAAAAATCTATTAGATATGTATAACTATTTAATGGTAAACCCAATAACTAAACTAGTTATGGGATGAAGAGGCTTTTATAAGAAAAAAAGGCATGGTTCTTTCAGTTCCGCATCCGGGGAAAGCAGCTTCCTCTTCTATATTCTGGCTCCGTTTTGACCTATCTGATTCTCCGGAACTCATTAGTCTAACTAATCAACTTCAAATCCTAAACAGATAAAAAACAAATTACCAAAATATTCTCTATTTTAAGAATTTGAATACTTGAATGATATAAATAGTTATATGATCTTTGGAGGCGGATGTATAATTTAAAGCTCAACCTTAAGATTCTTAAAGTTGAAGGTACATTGACCAATTATAATATATTAATCATGTTGTGGTATATCGACTAATTCATTTGACATTTTATGACTTTCTCAATAAAAATTACTCACTAAATTTTGAACAAATAAGCTCACTAGTGGTATGAGTCCACCAAACTATAAATAGACCAGGTCCTCTATGAGTTTCCAATGAGAATGCTAATGAAACAGTAAGTAAATAAGACAGGGAGTTTTACGTGAAAAAATCCATGCTCAAGGGGATAAAAAAAATCACGACCTACACTGGTAGGATTTCAACTTCACTATGAGCAACTTTAGATTACAACCTATGCAATCTAGGAATTAAACTCTTAATCCCTCACTAACTTGTAATACACTTATTACAAGCCACTTTGCAATACACCTATTACAAAGACTTCAACTTATGATTAACTCTAGTCACGACACAAACACTAAGGGTTTATGTTTTACAAGGGATTCCTAAGCAACGCTTCTAGATAAGCAAAATAGGAATTACAATGAAGAACAATTACAAAGTTACAACTCAACTAAAGACATACAAATACTAGCTCTAGGAACTGGTCCGTAGTAGTGTTAAACTTTGTTCTTGATGCACTTGAGAATTGAATGCTCGAATGTCAGATTGCTTCAATGCTGGGAATGAATTCTCAAGTGTTCAAGTGATGTTTTGTTGTAATACTCTAGTTAATAAAACTTGGATGACATCACTTGAATGATGTAATCACTTGGTTGGTCAAAGGACAAGTGACTGCAGAACTGTGTTGCACTGTTTCAGTGTACAGTGCAGGCCGTCACTTTTCAGCTGTACACAGTTGACTTCGTACTGCTGTCAGGGAAACACAAGGGTATCAGGTCCTTGTGTTGATTCTCTATCTTCTGAAGTTGTAGCAGTTCACATTAGCTGGAGTCCGTTGATTTGCGATGTGTACCAAGTGCGTCGGGTTCCTTATCTGGTTCTTTGACAGTAAGTTTTTTAGATCATCAAACATAAAGCTAAGGCATTGTAAACCCATCAATTTCCCCTTTTTGATGATGACAAACTTAGACATTGATAACACACGTTTAAAGCAAAATTAACCAGATGAAGCAACAGAAACTTTACAAGTTCCCCCTAACTCTATGCTTCCCCCTTAATCAGATTCCTGTTTTAATTATACTTCCCCCTTTTGGCATCATAAAAAACACACAAGCAGGCAATCAGCATAAAGAAGTCTAGCCTAGCTAACTCATGCCACATATGTGCACACAACATGATAGAAAAGAGAAACATAAGCATGAAATAGCAAAAGAGGATAGTTTTTATACATAAAACATATGCCTTTGCCATACCACAAAGGCAAAGATTGGACTATTTTCAGCGGGAGCAGTACAAGTACATCCCATCCATACCACAAAAAGAAACAAAAACAAACAACTGCCAAAGTCAACAAAACAAGAACATAATTAATCCAGAAACTGGTCACTAAAGGGTTTCCTAAGGGGCTCTAGGAGGAGAGTGCTTGGAGGCTGCATCAAGGGTGTTGAGAACAAGATCTATTCGGGCATTCACCGATATTTTCTCGGTGAGCAGTTTCTCCTTCAGGTTCTCCACTTGTGCCCTGAGATCAGCATTTTCTTTGGTCAGACGAGCTATCTCCTTATTTGACCCTGGACCCCCTTGGGCCTGCTGAACTTCCAGTATGGCGTTCCTTGCCTTCAACCTTCGAATCTCCTCAATTGCATTATTTTGAGCATTGATGAGCTGAGAGATTGTTGAAGTGCTGCCTACCCCTCCATTCCTTTCGATACATTCACATTCCTCCAAAGTTGTTTGAGAGAAGGTCTGCTTCTTGGTCCCTACTTTGGACTATCCCAATGGCACTTTGAACAACTTAAAAACGTGCGTAAGAAGAAACCCATTTGGCAGACCATGGTTTCCATCCTTGAAAGTCGCCACCTTCTGCATATGCTCAATCATGATGGCAGACAAGTTCACAGCTTTAAATCCATCCAGTGCTTCCATCAGATATAAGTCAGATTTGGAAGTAATGGACCTTCTCTCAGCACGGGGTAGAAGAACCTTGTTCACCAGCTCGAACAATAACTGATAAACGGGGATCAAGGCTTTCTTGTGAACTCGTTCCCTTTTCTGGGCTGCACCTTCCTTCACAATAGCATTTCTGAAGTTTGACCCACACACATTCTTCACAGAAGACTTACCATCAGCATGGACTTTAATAATATCCCCAAGCAGAGCAACATCAAACACAATATCCACACCATTAACTAAAGCACAAATATGGTCAGTGTCAACAGGAAAGAGGTCGGCATAGAAGCTTTGGACCTCATCCTCATAGACCTTAGGAGCATCCACTTTGAACAGATGTCCCCACTGTTGAAACTCGACCATCTCAATTATTTGTCTCATGCCGGCCATGTCAGAAATTGCTGGGTCAAAAGTGCGACCCCACAAGACCTTTTGGTACCTTAGTCGTTCTTTAGCGGGACTCTCACGCTTAATTTTCTTTGAAGAATCAGGTTCCCTCACAGTTTCCACCTTTCTTTTTTCAGACTTCACACTCGATTTACCTTTTCCACTTGGCTTGTCCAACATATCCTCATCAGATAGTGACTGGTCACTCATTACTTGTTTCAACTTTCCACCACTTTTTACTGATCTTAAACTTGGCGCAGCAACACCTTCCTCTGAAGCATAAGGCTTCTTCTTCTGGGATCTTTTAACCAAGGAACTGGGTTCCTCTATTGCTTCCTCATCAACTTCCACCACAGGAATGTACTTGTCACATACCACTTCTCCATTTTTCACTAGCCTCTTCTTTTTCTTCTTACTGCTCCTTTTGCTCTTTTGTAGGGCAGACTCATAAGCCTCTTTTGCTTGAACCTAGTAGTAGGTCGCTTAGTAGAAGACTCAGGAGTGGTTATTGCCCTTCTCTTGACAATAAAAGCATCCAGAGCAACATTATCTTGATCTTCCTCATCACTAGACCTCATCTCAGGAACCAGAATTTCTAAGGGCTCAACAGCACGGTGTGGAGAGGGAGCAGGGGCAAAACTAACCTGGGAAGAAAATCCTTCACCTGTTTCCTCTGGAGAGGGGTCAAGTCCTTCATGATAAGTCCCAGTAGTTTCTGCTGGTGCAGAGTTTTCAAAGAGCACCACAGCTCCTTCTTCCACTAACCCCTGTGTCTCATTCCTTTGAGACTCAGGCACACAAGAGATTACCTTATGCACTATTCCATCCGCAGATACGACCAGTATGTTTGCGACGGCCTCTTTCTCTAGAGACTCCATGGTTACCACGAACTCAGGAGCAAGTACAGCTGGAGATTGATCAACACTAACCATTGAGACCTCTACAATTTGCGGAACTGTACCCTGTTCTCCACCCTAGCTTTGGTCGGTGAGAATCTCAATCGATAGAGATGATTATCTAATTTTGGGGTTTCTGAGTTCTCATCATTTGGGGTGAGAGAGAGGTCTGAGAGAGTCGCATGAGAACTAGAGGGTCTAT